TTACACACAGAAGCTTTTACACACAGACGCTTTTACACATAGGCCGGCCCATGTTTTCCCAGTAAAGTCATCGTCGTCGTGGCCACCTCAGCAATCCGACGGGGGGGTGAATCAAATGATCTGACTCGAAACCAGCATGTATAAACATGTCATGAGGGCTGTGTGCTTTGGGCCCCCCCAACCAAGGTGGTTTGCCATCTCCCCCAAAAAAGTATAAACGGGCGGACCTGGCAGGCGGCGAATGTTTTTGGGCTGGGACAAGCACAGTATTACAATATGATATAATGGGATGGCCCTTGTGCTCCTTTCCATGTGCTTTTTAGGTTTAGGGTCCTGACTCTGGACTGTGACTTGAATTGAAACTCTTGTCTTAAGATTCATACATCCATCTCTATATATATTACTACTCATACGTCCATCTCTATCTCATATCCCTATTTCTATCTCAATAAATAATATATCCATTTGTTTCTTTGTGGTAGCAGCCTATCCATGTAATCCATCCCATCCCGGGGCCCTGACTCGATGCAAACCTAGCTGCACAGACCAACAATGCGGACCTGCAAAGCATTCAAGGACTATGACTAATGACTGTGACAGATCACATTCAGTGATGTCCCGGCACAACTATATGCGCAAAAGGAACTGGCAGCTTTATTGATCTTCGATGGAGTCTCAGACCGTTCTGTTTGACTCACGCCGATGCACTATGGTGAGACAGGATGCACTATGGTGAAACTGAATGTCTCAAGCAAAGATGCGTGCATCAACAAGTCTCAGACAGTTCTGGTTGACTCATGCTGATGCACTTCATTTTCAAATCGTCTTTGCGCCAATATGATTACATGTATGCAAATGTTTGTGCAGAGAACTGTCAGAGCATCCCCCAAAAACAACTATCCACACAACTGCTCCCACTGAATCCAAACTAACACCTTCTGTGGTGCCACCCAAAGAAACCGGCTAAAGCCTTCAATGCATTGATCCCGAGTTTGCGCACCTGTCGCCGGAAGGGGTCAACTCCCCCCTCTTTCAAGCCTTGTTGCAACTCTCGGAGCTTCTCGGACATTTCCGGTTGAAACGGACCAAGAGAAACAACTTATAAAGGCCAAGCGAGATACGAAGCTCGAACCAAAAGCTGCGCTGACCAGCTTCATGCTTTGACGAACAAACAGAACGCAAGCTTGCAGTTGAAAATTCCAAGATCATACTATGATGCAAATAGACTTGCTCTATATATATCTCACTCCGAAGACGGGCAACCAAAAACTAGCTGCAAAACATCGAATGACTGCCATGTCTGCTTAAGCATTCCTACGAAACATGCCAAGCAAACAACTCAAGATTGCTTAAAACTTGCCAGCAAGACCCAAACATGACAGGGGTGACCGGAAAACAAACATGCCAAACAATCAACAGGGCCAGAAAACAAAACTTGTAAGCAAAGCCGCTTTTACACACACATTGCCCCTGTCACATAGAAACACCTTTTTTACACAAAAACCCTCCTGCACTCACACCATTTTACACACAGACGCTTTGACACACAAACCCTTTTACACACAGACACTTTTACACACAAAAGCTTTTACACACAAATCCTTTTACACAGATGCACTTTTACACACAAACACTTTTACATACAAACATCTTTACACAGAAACACACTTACACACAAACCCGTTTACACAGAAACACTTTTACACACAGAAGCCTTTACACACAGACACGTTTACACAGATTCACTTTTACACACAAACACTTTTACACACAAACATCTTTACACAGAAACACTCTTACACACAAACCCGTTTACACACAAAGACTTTTACACACAGAAGCTTTTACACATAGACACTTTTACACACAAACCCTTTTACACAGATTCACTTTTACACACAAACACTTTTACACACAAACATCTTTACACAGAAACACTCTTACACACAAACCCATTTACACACACAAAGACTTTTACACACAGAGGCTTTTACAAACAGACACTTTTACACACAGACGCTTTTACACACAGACGCTTTTACACACAAACATCTTTACACACAGACGCTTTTACACACAGACGCTTTTACACACAGACGCTTTTACACACAGAAGCTTTTACACACAGAGGCTTTTACACACAAACACTTTTACACACAGACACTTTTACACACAGACGCTTTTACACACAGACGCTTTTACACACAGACGCTTTTACACACAGACGCTTTTACACACAGACGCCTTTTACACACAGACGCTTTTACACACAGACGCTTTTACACACAGAAGCTTTTACACACAGACGCTTTTACACACAGACGCTTTTACACACAGACGCTTTTACACACAGACGCTTTTACACACAGAAGCTTTTACACACAGAAGCTTTTACACACAAACACTTTTACACACAAACACTTTTACACACAGAGACTCTTATACACAGAGACTCTTATACCCAGACGCTTTTACACACAGACACGTCCGGCACAAGTAAAATCGCAATTTTACCTCAGTTTTTGCGCATCGACCCTCATTTCGTGCGAAAGGGTTGCTCCGGCACAAGTAAAATCGCAATTTTACCTATTTTTACCTCAGTTTTTGGCGATCGGCCCTCATTTCGTGCGAAAGGGTTGCTCCAGCACACGTAAAATCGCAATTTTACCTCAGTTTTTGAAGATCGACCCTCATTTCGTGCGAAAGGGTTGCTCCAGCACACGTAAAATCGCAATTTTACTTCAGTTTTTGAAGATCGACCCTCATTTCGTGCGAAACGGTTGCTCCGGGACAAGTAAAATCGCAAATTTACTTCAGTTTTTGGCGATCAACCCTCATTTCGTGCGAAAGGGTTGCTCCAGCACACGTAAAATCGCAATTTTACCTCAGTTTTTGCCGATCGAGCCCCATTTCGCGTGAAAAGGTTGCTCCGGCACAAGTAAAATCGCAATTTTACCTCCGTTTTTGCCGATCGACCTTCATTTCGTGCGAAAGGGTTGCTCCGGCACAAGTAAAATCGCAATTTTACCTCAGTTTTTGACGATCGACCCTCATTTCGTGTGAAAGGGTTGCTCCAGCACAAGTAAAATCGCAATTTTACATCAGTTTTTGACGCTCGACCCTCATTTCGTGCGAAAGGGTTCACGTTTCGTGACTCCCCGCCGGCACCACCCTCGGCCTAAAGAGAGAAAGATAAAGAAGGCGAGAGAGAGAAAAGGGAGAGAGAAAGGAGAGAAGATGTGAAGATGAGAAGATGTGAGAGAAGGTGTGAAGATGAGCAGATGTGAAGATGAGCAGATGTGAGAGAAGATGTGAAGATGAGCAGATGTGAAGATGAGCAGATGTGAGAGAAGATGGAGACAAGATGTGAAGATGAGCAGATGTGAAGATGAGCAGATGTGAGTCAAGATGTGAGAGAAGATATGAAGATGAGCAGATGTGAGAGAAGATGTGAGAGAAGATGTGAGAGAAGATGTGAAGATGAGCAGATGTGAAGATGAGCAGATGTGAAGATGAGAAGATGTGAAAATGAGAAGATGTGAAGATGAGCAGATGTGAAGATGAGCAGATGTGAAGATGAGAAGGTGTGAGAGAAGGTGTGAAGATGAGAAGGTGTGAAGATGAGAAGGTGTGAAGATGAGAAGGTGTGAGAGAAGGTGTGAAGAGGAGAAGGTGTGAAGATGTGAAGGTGTGAAGACGAGAAGATGAGATACAGACCCCCACTATTGGAAGAACCCTGCGCTCAGACGCTCTCGGGAACAAACCGTTCTCATATCATTTTGACATGCACCTTTTTCGTGCAAAAACATTTTTATGCCGGCCCAACAGCCAAACGCAAACATTCCGCTACCGGTCCATTAAGCAAAACAAAAGGTTCTGTTACCGGCTCAGTAAACAAAACGAAACAACATTAAGAACCATGATTTTTATCTTTTTGGAATCAACAGACCTTCCACTGGTAACGTATGCTTTTTCAAGCTTGGAACCATGAGTTTCAAGCTTTGGGAACCCGCAGTTCCATACAATGATAGCCGCTTAGCTTAGAAAACATAAATTCTAACTTCTGAACCGTAAGTTTCAAGGTCTGGGAACCGGCAGTTCCTTGCCGTGGTAACTTTTGGTTCCCACGTTGGGAACCATCAGTTCCAACCTTTACGAATTGGAAGTTATTTGCAATGGTAACCTATGGTTCCCAGGTTGGGAAGCATGAGTTCCAACCTCTGGGAACCGGCAGTTGCTTGCAATGGTAACCTCTGGTTCCCAGGTTGGGAACCAGGAGTTCCAAGCTCTGGGAACCGGCAGTTCCTTGCAATGGTAACCTGTGGTTCCCACGTTGGCAACAGTGAGTTCCAACCTTTAACCAAACGCAAACATTCCGGTACCGGTCCATTAAGCAAAACCATAAAGTTGTAAAGAAACTGTTTTCATATCATTTTAACATGCACCTTTTTCATGCAAAAACATTTTTATGCCGGCCCAGCAGCCGAACGCAAACATTCCGCTACCGGTCCATTAAGCAAAACAAAAGGTTCTGTTACCGGCTCAGTAAACAAAACAAAACAACATTAAGAGCCATGATTTTTATCTTTTTGGAATCGGCAGATCCTTCCACTGGTAACGTATGCTTTTTCAGGTTTGGAACCATGAGTTTCAAACTTTGGGAATCCGCAGCTCCTTGCAATGATAGTTGCTTAGCTTCGAAAACATAAATTCTAACTTCTGGGAACCGGCAATTCCTTGCAATAGTAACCTCTGGTTCCCAGGTTGGGAACCGTAAGTTTCAAGGTCTGGGAACCGGCAGTTCCTTGCCATGGTAACCTTTGGTTCCCACGTTGGGAACCATCAGTTCCAACCTTTTCTATCTGGGGTCTATGCCGGTGTAATTGTTTCTTCCACACGACGAATTTCAACAGATACCGGTTCTGATCGTTTCAGTGTCTAGCATTGTCTTGTGCTTCTGCTTTCTGTGCTTCTGCTTTCGCCAAGAGAATCCAAGCGACTTGAATGCCAAGGTCTCTACGAAGAGTCGCAGTTCCTCGGGGTCTTGGCTTTTGTGACCTCAGGACATGGAATTTGCCAAGACATTTTGTGTATGAAACAGTTTGAAATATCGAACATCAGGATTTAAGAGCAATCTATTTCGTAATTTTCTAGCTTTCAGTAATATATATATAATTATATAAATATAAATATATATATATATACTGACCTGTTTTTATGATAGTTGAAAAGGTGGTACTGAATGTATAGGCATCATTGGACACAATGGTCACCCACCAGTATTCGCTACTGGTACGAATCGAGGCATTCTTGAAACGATCACTACAGGTGAATGGGGTACCCCTAGGACACTCTCTAGCATTCTGCAGGAAACTAGTTGAATAGTTGATACTGCTGGAGACGGGAGGTAAGCCCAACTAACACCCAATGGAATAAGCACAAGTCGAAGATTGTCAAAAAAGGAAGACAAACAAAGCCCCAGTAGCTGCAGACAAATTACACTACCTTTCGTTGCATGATAGTGGGACACTGCCCCAGATGAATGGAGCCCAAGTCTAAATGAATGGGATGGTCGGTTGAAAATTGAAATGCTTTTGAAGGTCTTTTGAACTCCCTTGTCAACGCTTTTTGTGGAGACCCAGCCAGTGAGAAAAAACACACACACTAGATGAAGCTACCAGTAGCCACTGCGCTTGTGGAGTTTTGGCGTCGCTGGACCACCCTAAATCGAGCGTTCTAACAGGGAGCGACCGTCACTCCCTGTTAGAACACTCACTACCGGTAGCGACTGCACTTGTGGAGTTTTGGAGTCGCTGGACCACCCTAAATCTTGCGTTCTTCTCAGTACAACCCCAGCGAAAACACAAGATGGTCCTTGGGTCGATGATTCCGGTGGCACCCTTAGAACACTCACTACGGCGAGCGTTCTAAGGCTTCCCAATTCACTACCGGTAGCGAGCGTTCTAAGGGTTCCCAATTCACTACCGGTAGCGGGCGTTCTAAGGGTTTCCAATTCACTACCGGTAGCGAGCATTCTAAGGGTTCCCAATTCACTACCGGTAGCGAGCATTCTAAGGGTTCCCAATTCACTACCGCCAGCGAGCGTTCTAAGAGTTCCCAATTCACTACCGCTAGCGGGCGTTCTACGGGTTGCCAATTCACTACCGGTAGCGAGCGTTCTAAGGGTTCCCAATTCACTATCGGTAGCGAGCGTTCTAAGAGTTCCCAATTCACGACCGGTAGCGAGCTTCTAAGGGTTTCCATTCACTACCGGTAGCGAGCGTTCTAAGGATTGTCAATTCACTATCGGTAGCGCGTGTTTTAAGGGACCCAATTCACTACCGCTAGCGAGCGTTCTAAGGGTGCCCAATTCAGACCAGTAGTGAATGTCGGTGGAGTGACCGTGGTGTCCAAAGATGCAAATATACAGTACCACCTTTTCAACTATCATAAAAGCAGGACAGTATATATAATAGTTGTATATACATATATATATATATAATATTATGGAGGTAATCGTTGAGTATGTTCGTAAACTCAAGCAGAATCATCAAACGATACTTTATAAAGATATTAGGCTTATTGTTGCCCTTCGGCCCAAGACCCAGGCCCAGAACGCGAAAGCCGTTGAATAATGCCAACGACAGCACAGCCCTCGGAGTGATGAAGCTGTCCTTGTGGAACTTGAGGGGCAAGGTGCAGGGAAACATACAGCAACAATGATAACACAACTTGTGAAATTCTTCACACCCTTTGGAGAGTCATTTAGCCACTGGAGATTCAATCCTCTCTTACAACTTACCCACCTACATACCTCGCATTATATCACACCATCACAACCTCTTAGTCTTAGTTATATAATTAGCGTCTAAAGATCCATGAATCTTCATGGCCATTGAAGACACTGCTCAGTCCCGATCTCCCTTTCCCTCCTTCAAGGTTACCAGTGATGATGTCTTGGTCCCGTAGATCGCATCCCCAAGGCGGTCGCGGTCCCCGCCCAAGGCTGCCAACAATTTCTCGAAGGATGCGCCAAGCGCAAAGAGTTCCGATTGAGTCCTCAGAGTTCAGCGGCAGCTGGGATAGCTGGGGCGCAGAATGAGTATAATCCAATGTTAGTGAGCATGGTCTCAAGGTTTCAAACGTGCGGCCAGAAAATATTTCATAACAATGGCCTGTGAATTATGCAAGCGTGTCGTCAAAGCGCGCGGCTCTCATATATTTATATCTTTGGAATCTGTAAGCCACTTTCTTAGGACAAATGCACGGTTTTTGTCACGCAATAAAAGTCACACTACTGAGTTTTACACGGCTTTGATCAAAACTAAAGAAATCACTGCGTTTCTATTCCATTTTCACTTCATTGAATCAGATTGCTTCCGTGTCTTTGGCACGCGAAAACTAGTGTTTCTGTGGAAACAACTATATGCTTCAGACCCAAAAACGAAACGTACAACTTTTTGAAATTGCTGGGAATTTCGCCAAATTTGTCTTATCCTTCCTTGATTGTTTTGCTTCTACAGCACCTCCTACGAGCGCAGTGAAGACCCAAACAAGATAAAACATGATAAAACCCGTTTCAATTATGTCTTGTTTTCAGTCAGCGCGGGCAAATAGCTGTAAATTACCCAGAAAAGACAGAAATATATCATGGTTCTGTCCAACAATCCCTGATCTTTTTCCAGCTAGTTCTGTATCTTTTTTGGTTGGTCTATGTTCGGATATCTGTTCACGCCCTTTCTTCTCAATTAAGACCGCCAAGAGGATGCGAGGCGTGTTCTTGTTCTTGCGGCCAACGACTTTGCAAGGTGCAACTCCGTCGTACTTCTGGCTTCCACTTCCAATTATGGTACCTCCTACAAGTCACGGATGACAAAGACCAATGCAAGACAAAGCCCGCTCCAATGATTGCATTTCTTTAGTGGGGCATGCGGCAGCATTGCTGTTTTACAGCCAGTGAACTGAACGTTAGCCGACCAAAAATATGTGGAAGCAGGTCTGAACCGTCTGCATTTTAGTTGGACATGCTTGCAAAATGTGAAGAAGAGGCCGCATTTCATGGGGACAATGATGCTGCTGGCTGCTGAGGAAATGGACCCAAGCCCTGACGGTCGATGTAGTGTAGTGGCCCACACATGCATTGTCAAGCAGGAATGTCTGCAAAAGAAGCTCTAATGCAACATGTCCAATCAAACACACACGGAGCGACGATACACAGGGTTGTGTAGCATGTTCAATCTCGCCGGTGTAAACTGAGCGCAGTGTGTCTGCAAAACTAGGCATGTTGTAAGCTTGCAGAATGAATTTGAGCGCCCCACGCCAGTTTTTGAATGGTGCGGCAAATTCCGAAAACTGTTGGCATATGTGGTTTATGCAAATGCAATGGATCAGTACATACGCAAATATACGCGTACGGAATGTCTCGTGAGGTCTGGGTCACTTTAGAATGAAGGAATATCTTGTGACGTGGAGCTAGTGGATTGGTTGTCTGCATGTGGCACTCCAATGTATGGGCAGTGACGGAATCGTGATGAGTCACTTAGAAGCTGTGGCACCATATGCCCTTGACAAGCTCTGCACCTGGATCATGCAAGATAACCATATATCATATATCTGTTAAACTTTCTTTTTCCAGCCTCCGGGTGTGCATGTATATCGATGTGCATGTACACATGCGTCTTCAATCTGTTGAAATTATCTTCTATACGGTGAGCACAAACTCGACAGAGCCTGACACTTCCATAACACAGTGAGAGTTCCATATTGTTTCACAGGATGGGAAGAGGAACCGTGAGAAACGCAAAATCTCTGAGAAGCAAACTGCCCGAGACATCCCAGTTAAAACTTGCAAACCGACGCTGTCAATCTATGTAAGATCTGTAGATCTGAGAGCCCACACATTTGTAGCAATTCCATGGACGTACCGAAGTTCTCCACATTGATGGTCTGGTCCTCTGTGCCTGCAGGAAAGCAATCGCCAGGTTTCAAGTCGTTCTGTGTCATTTGACATCCTTCTTGCGTACCCTTTGGCACGGAATCACAGCTTGACAAAGTCGAGCCGATAGAAATTCAATTGGTCTGAGGGATGAGAATAAATGGTAAGAGTATGCTTCCTCCATTTCAGAATATGCACTTAGCGACGTCATTGTCGACACGCGCCAATACGGTTTACGGCCCTCTTGAACAGAAGCTTGCCAATCACGAGCAAGGTTTGACATCCCAGCAGCGATTCCTTCCCTTTGATTCCCTGAACGTGAAGTGTTTGTTGCTTCTCAATGCTTCTCCGCACACACACACACACGTATATATATATACGTATATGTATATATATATATATGTATAATATGTATTTATACACATACCAAATATTCAGATGTATATTTATGGATTGATGTATCTTTTTTATCCTTATATTCCTCATTTATATTTTCATGAACCGCCGCCAAAATCAACTGTTTACGCCTGGTGCGGAAATACAAGTGGTCGCCTTTTTTTTTGGGGCCCTATCGCTTTAACTTTAATTACCGTGCTTTGTTCAAATCAACGCTAAACAATACAGAAATGCAGCAGAACTGCGTTCTATCAAAGAATTGCAAAATCAGTTTCATCAAAGATTCCCAAGAAACAGTGTTGTTTGTTCTCGCGTCAAAAAAAATAAATATTTCCTTTCTGTTTCTTCTTCCTTGCCTGGTATTTTGGGAAAAGATGCCAAGTAGGCCCAAAGTCTGCCCCTGGAAGAATAGATCCGGTGATGACAAAGAGTAAAGCCGCTCAGCATCAGCGGAGTTAAGGACAAAACGAGATGGAGGCAGCGCAGAGAAGGTTGGATCGAAAGGTGACCAAGGAAGTAGTTAATAAAGACAGGAAGGTTGAAAGTGATCAAAAGGTGGCTGAGGCCCCTGCAAAACCCAACAGGGATAAGGGAAGCGTGGTGCTGTGCTGGGTGGCGAAGTCTGGCCCAGGTGTGGCAAGGGTGCTGTGCAGTGCGGAAGCGAAGTCTGGCAAGGTGCTGCGCAGGGTGTGCTGTGCATGGTGCTGTGCAGTGCGTTGTCCAGAGTGCGGTGGCAAAGTCTGGCAAAGAGTTTGGCACTGTTCAGGTTGCTGTGTGGCGGCAGCGTGCTGTCCAAGGTGCTTTCCGAAGTCCGGCAAGGTTGGGTGCTGGGAAGCAACAGGTTTGCTGTTGGGAATTACATAAACAACTAGACGACGGATGGCCCGAGAGCGTAGAGAAGCAGGGTCTTCTCTTGTTAGTGTGGAGACACCATATTACAAAACAATATATTAAAGACTTGTTATAGGCAGAAGAGAAGAGGAAAATCAAGACAATATAGCACAAGTAAAAGACAATAGTTTGCATCGTATCTTTCAAATAGCTTTTCACACATAGAACTTTTTACAGAGAGACGCTTTTACACACAGATGCTTTTAGACACAGACGCTTTTACACACACAGACGCTTTTACACACAGAAGCTTTTACACACAGAAGCTTTTACACCCAGACACATTTACACGCAGACCCTTTTACACACAGGAGCTTTTACACACAGAAGCTTTTACACGCAGACGCTTTTACACACAAAGCTTTTACACACAGACGCTTTTACACACAGAAGCTTTCACACACAGACACATTTACACGCAAACACTTTTACACACAAACATTTTTTCACACAGACGCTTTTACACGCAGACGCTTTTACGCACAGAAGCTTTTACACACAGAGACTTTTACACGCAGACCCTTTTACACACAGGAGCATTTACACACAGAAGCTTTTACATGCAGACGCTTTTGCATACAGAAGCTTTTACACACAGACGCTTTTACACACAGACGGTTTTACACATACGCTTTTACACACAAACACTTTTACACACAGATGCTTTTAGACACAGACGCTTTTACACACAGACGCTTTTACACACAGAAGCTTTTACACCCAGACACATTTACACGCAGACCCTTTTACACACAGGAGCTTTTACACACAGAAGCTTTTACACGCAGACGCTTTTACACACAAAGCTTTTACACACAGACGCTTTTACACACAGAAGCTTTCACACACAGACACATTTACACGCAAACACTTTTACACACAAACATTTTTTCACACAGACGCTTTTACACGCAGACGCTTTTACGCACAGAAGCTTTTACACACAGAGACTTTTACACGCAGACCCTTTTACACACAGGAGCATTTACACACAGAAGCTTTTACATGCAGACGCTTTTGCATACAGAAGCTTTTGCACATAGACGCTTTTACACACAGACGCTTTTACACACAGACGATCACAGACGCTTTTACACACAGAAGCTTTTACACACAGCACACAGAAGCCTTGTACACACAGAAGGAAACGCAATTTTACCTCAGTTTTTGACGATCGAACCTCATTTCGCGCGAAAGGGTTGCGCCGGACAACTTGAACTCGTTTCTACCTCAGTTTTTGGTGATCGACCCTCATTTCGTGCGAAAGGGTTGCGCGGGACGACTTGAAATCGCAATTTTACCTCAGTTTTTGGCGATCGAACCTCATTTCGTGCGAAAGTGTTGCGCGGGACCGCTGGAAATCGCAATTTTACCTCTGTTTTTGACGATCGAACCTCATTTCGTGCAAAAGGGTTGCGCGGGACGACTTGAACTCGCAATTTCACCTCAGTTTTTGACGATCGAACCTTATTTCCTGCGAAAGGGTTGCGCGGGACGACTTGAAATCGCAATTTTACCTCAGTTTTTGACGATCGAACCTCATTTCGTGCAAAAGGGTTGCTCCGGCACAAGTAAAATCGCAATTTTACATATTTTACCTCAGTTTTTGACGATCGAACCTCATTTCGTGCAAAAGGGTTGCGCGGGACGACTTGAACTCGCAATTTCACCAAAGTTTTTGACGATCAAACCTCATTTCGTGCGAAAGGGTTGCGCGGGGCGACTTGAAATCGCAATTTTACCTCAGTTTTTGGCGATCGAACCTCATTTCGTGCGAAAGCGTTGCGCGGGACCGCTGGAAATCGCAATTTTACCTCTGTTTTTGACGATCGAACCTCATTTCGTGCAAAAGCGTTGCGCGGGACGACTTGAACTCGCAATTTCACCTCAGTTTTTGACGATCGAACCTTATTTCCTGCGAAAGGGTTGCGCGGGACGAATTGAAATCGCAATTTTACCTCAGTTTTTGACGATCGAACCTCATTCGTGCAAAAGGGTTGCTCCGGCACAAGTAAAATCGCAATTTTACCTCAGTTTTTGACGATCGAACCTCATTTCGTGCAAAAGGGTTGCGCGGGACGACTTGAACTCGCAATTTCACCACAGTTTTTGACGATCGAACCTCATTTCGTGCAAAAGGGTTGCGCGGGACGACTTGAACTCGCAATTTCACCAAACAGTTTTTGACGATCGAACCTCATTTCGTGCGAAAAGGTTGCGCGGGGCGACTTGAAATCGCAATTTTACCTCAGTTTTTGGCGATCGAACCTCATTTCGTGCGAAAGCGTTGAGCGGGACCGCTGGAAATCGCAATTTTACCTCTGTTTTTGACGATCGAACCTCATTTCGTGCAAAAGGGTTGCGCGGGACGACTTGAACTCGCAATTTCACCTCAGTTTTTGGCGATCGACCCTCATTTCGTGCGAAAGGGTTGCGCGGGACGACTTGAAATCGCAATTTTACCTCAGTTTTTGGCGATCGAACCTCATTTCGTGCGAAACGTGCGCGGGACCGCTGGAAATCGCAATTTTACCTCTGTTTTTGACGATCGAACCTCATTTCGTGCAAAAGGGTTGCGCGGGACGACTTGAACTCGCAATTTCACCTCAGTTTTTGGCGATCGACCCTCATTTCGTGCGAAAGGGTTGCGCGGGACGACTTGAAATCGCAATTTTACCTCAGTTTTTGGCGATCGAACCTCATTTCGTGCAAAAGGGTTGCGCGGGACGACTTGAACTCGCAATTTTACCACAGTTTTTGACGATCGAACCTCATTTCGTGCGAAAGGGTTGCGCGGGGCGACTTGAAATCGCAATTTTTCCTCAGTTTTTGGCGATCGAACCTCATTTCCTGCGAATGGGTTGCGTTTCGTGCCGTCTCGTTGGCACTGCCCCGCGCCTTCAAGAGAGAAATAGAAAAGAAGGAGAGGGCAAGAGGGCAAGAGGGCAAGAGGGCAAAAGGGCAAGAGGGCAAGAGGGCAAGAGGGTAAGAGGAGAAGATGTGAGGATGAGAAGATGTGAAGATGAGAAGATGTGAAGATGTGAAGATGAGAAGATGTGAAGACGAGAAGATGAGAAGATGAGAAGATGTGAAGGTGTGAAGATGAGAAGATGCGAAGAGGAGAAGATGTGAGGATGAGAAGATGTGTGAGAGGATATGAAGATGTGAAGCTGAGAAGATGCGAAGAGGAGAAGATGTGCGGATGAGAAGATGTGTGAGAGGATGTGAAGATGTGAAGATGTGAGGATGAGAAGATGTGAAGAGGAGAAGATATTTTACAGACCCCCACTATTGGAAGAACCCTGCGCTCAGACGCTCTCGGGAAAAAGGAAATTAAAGGACCGGAAAACCCCACAAGTCAGCTTCTTCCAATAGTGAGCACCAAAGGTTGTAGCGGGGACGGGGCAGGAAGGAAAGACAAAGGAGGTGGTGAAGGATCGAAAAGTTCAGTGCGGAGACGCAGGTGGGCAAACATGCCATAAAACTGATGACCACGTGATTTTCTGCTTCGGTCGCTTCTGCTTGGGCCAAAGCGACGAAAGCAGAATACATGATCTGTAATCTGTAACCACGTCATTTGATTGCGCTATGCCACCGCTAATTCAACGTAACTAACTATGCTAGAACACGCTTATTTATTGTACCGTGAAAGATAGTGTGTGAAAGATGTATGTGACAAAGTTGTGGGTGACAAGGTCTGTGTGAAAGATGCGAAAGCAGAATACATGATCTGTAACCACGTCATTGGATTGCGCTATGCCACCGCTAATTCAACGATATTCAACGTAACTAACTATGCTAGAACACGCTACAGTAATTTATTGTACTGTGAAAGATAGTGTGTGAAAGATGTATGTGACAAAGTTGTGGGTGACAAGGTCTGTGTGAAAGATGATGTGTGACAAAGTTGTAGGTGGAAGATGAATTGTGACAAAGTTGTGTGTGAAAGATGGTCTGTGACAGATGGTGTGTGACAAGGATGTGTGTGAGAGATGGTGCGCGCCACCGTAAGTGCCACGCCTGCCGTGCCATAAGCGCGATGCCTGCCACGCAAGACGAAGCTGGATGTAACCAAGTGCCACGCCTGCCACGTGAAACGAAGGTACATGTTGCCAAGTGCCATGCCTGCCACGCAAAGTGCCACGACGTCACCGGCGACCAAAACGGGCCCAAGCGCGCCACCCAGTGCCATAAGTGCCACGCCTGCCACGCGAAAACAAGGTGGCTGTCTCCACAAGTGCCACGCCTGCCACGCAAAACGAAGGCATATGTCGCCAAGTGCCACACCTGCCACGCAAAGTTGGGCGGCATCACCGGCGACCAAGCGCGCCCAAGCGCGCCACCAGAGCCAGCCCAGTGCCATAAGTGCCACGTGCTGCAGAAAACGAAGGTGGATGTTTTCAAGTGCCACGCCTGCCACGCAAAACACGCAAAGTGCCGCGGCGTCACCGGCGACCAAACGCGCCCAAACGCGCCAGCAGAGCCAGCCCAGTGCCATAAGTGCCACGCCTGCCATGCGAAACCAATGTGGCTGTCTCCAAGTGCCACGCCTGCCACACAAAACGACGGTGGATGTCTCCAAGTGCCACGCCTGCCACGCAAAACACGCAAAGTGCCGCGGCGTCACTGGCGACCAAGCGCGCCCAAACGCGCCAGCAGAGCCAGCCCAGTGCCAAAAGTGCCACGCTTGCCACGCGAAACCAAGGTGGCTGTCTCCAAGTGCCACGCCTGCCACCCAAAACGAAAGCATATGTCGCCAAGTGCCACGCCTGTCACGTAAGTTGGGCGGCGTCACCGGCGACCAAGCGCGCCCAAGCGCGCCACCAGAGCCAGCCCAGTGCCATAAGTGCCACGCCTGCCACGCGAAACGAATGTGGATGTCGCCAAGTGCCACGCCTGCCACGCAAAGTTGGGCGGCGTCACTGGCGACCAAGCGCGCCCAAGCGCGCCGCCAGAGCCAGCCCAGTGCCATAAGTGTCACGCCTGCCACGCGAAACGAAGGTGGATGGCGCCAAGTGCCAGCCACGCAAAACGAAGGTGGATGTCGCCAACTGCAACGCCTGCCATGCAAAGCGACCAAGCGCGCCCAAGCGCGACACCAGGCCCAGCCCAGTGCCATAAGTGCCACGCCTGCCACGCGAAACCAAGGTGGCTGTCTCCAAGTGCCACGCCTGCCACGCGAAACGAAGGTGGATGTCGCCAAGTGTCACGCCTGCCACGCGAAACGCAAAGATGGTTGACAAAGATGGTGTGTGAAAGATGGTTGACAAAGATGGTTGACAAATATGGATAAATATGGTTGACAAAGATGGTGTGTGAAAGAAGGTGTGTGAAAGATGGTGGTTAACAAAGATGGTTGACAAAGATGGTGTGTGAAAGATGGTGTGTGAAAGATGGTTGACAAAGATGGTGTGTGAGAGATGGTGTGTGAAAGATGGGGTGTGAAAGAGGGTGTGTGACAGGCGGGCGGGAGGCGGGAGGCGGAGCACCCGGGATACAGAATCAAAAACAAGAACCCCACACAAAGTTGTGGGGAATAAACGGAATTCAGGACTGGATTTCAAACCGGTTTTGCAGTTTTGTATTAACTCAGAATCCACTTGCGTTTAGTTCAATTTGATGCTACGGCTTTGGGACCAGGGGGAAAAGCAAAATGCCGACAGAAAGCAACGGGTCAATCACTTTGGCTCACAAATTACATGGCAACTGCAAGAAAGACAGGCGCAGCAGGTTGAATTTTGCCCATGCGTGAATGTGCGCAACAAAACTTCCTTCGTTTACACAAAGTTCTATGCACTCCCATATATGGTTGCGCGTTGTCGATTTGAGGGGCCCTATCGCTTTACATGTTTTGCGCACTTTCTCAGCACAACTGTGCCCCTCGTTACTCAAGTAATCTACGTTCATCATGACCGTGTCTCAAACAAATACAAATTAGACAAACAAATAGATAAATAGATACATAACTAGATAACTAGATGAAAAATAAGAACATATGAAAAAGTAAATAAAAATGCAGAAAACAAATACAGGAAATAGATAACCAAAAGAAAAACAACAGATAATTAGATAGATAAATCAATACAAAAAAAGAATTGGAGAAATCTCAAGCAGATAAAGAAAGATAAAGCATAGATAATTGACAAAAAATAAACCATCAAATATACAAATAAAAGGGAAAACACCTGAATGAACCATGAATCGGCCGACCCCTTGGCCTAGGCGGGGCGGCGAGGTGTGCCAGTAAACCTTTTCTTACCAGGGCCTCTGCCAAAACAAGCCCGAGCGGCTAAGTACTTCGAAGGCTGCCAACCAAGGCCGTGGCCCGCCTCTGCAAGTAGCATGGCACCTCCCCTGCAGCTTTTGAAGGCCGCGCCGGCCGAAGTACGCTGCCAAAACAAGCCCAAGCGCCCAAGTAGGCCCCGCAAACAGTTTCGAAACTGCTACGCGGCACGTTTTCGCCACTTAAAACTCTCCGCTACAGCTTTCGGAGGCTGCCAACCAAGGCCGTCGCTTTCGAAAGTCTCCCCGGCCGAAGTACGCTGCCAAAACAAGCCCAAGCGGCCAAGTAGGCCCCGCAAACTGTTCCTATGTAGGGTTTCGAAGGTGCTATGGGGATCTATGGGGCACGTTTTCGCCACCCTTTAAAAGCAAAAAAAAAACCCTTAAAACCATCCGCTGCAGCTTTCGAAGGCTGCCAACCAAGGCCGTGGCCCGCCTCTGCAAGCACCATGGCACCTTCCGTGCCGGATTCGAAGATTTCTATGTTTCTATGTAGGGTTTCGAAACTGCTACTTTAAAACTATCAAAACCTTACAGCCCTCCGCTGCATCCCTGCCATTCGAAACTGCTATGTGGCACATTTCAGCAACCCTTTAAAAGCCTCAAAACCGTAAAGCCTCCGCTGGAGCTTTCGAAGGGTGCCAACCAAGGCCGTGGCCCGCCTCTGCAAGGAGCATGCCACCTTCCCTGCAGAAGTACGCCGCCGTGTCAAGCTGCGCCCGCACTACCAGCTGATACCTTTGCCTCTACACGGCCCCACTTCCCCGACTTCCTAACAGTTTCGAAACAGCCGTTTGCCACCTTCCGAAACACCCTGCCTGCCCGACCTTGCAAAGCGTCTTTGCGCTGCAGCTTGCCACCATTGGTTCTACAAGCGATACCGATACCTGCCCAAACTATGTCAAGCCTTCGAAGCGTGAACTGTTGTTTGCCGCCTGTGGTTCTACAAAGCCCTACCTGCCAAGCCTTGTGTAAACATTTTTCTTTAAAGGGGTCGGCAGGGGGGCAGCCCATTAATAAATCGGACGATGCCTTGCCGTACGTGGTGTGTAGCTGCAGCTAGCTTTAGCATGCTTTAGCTACCCGGGGGCGTGCCCCTGCCGCCCCGGGCCCCGAAAAACGTGAAAACACCAGCAGAGTGAAGGATTTTGGGGGTCGGGAAAAATATGATAAAACTACGAAATTCTACAAGATGCTTTTGGAAGTCGATTTTGGGCCGTTTTTGAGCAATTGTTTTACAATTTTTTTGCTGCGCTCGGGAAACAAGAACATCGTAAAATACAGTGTTTTTTGTTATTTTCGCATATAGAAACTACATCTTGCAACATGGTGAAGACTCCTTAAATACCAGTGTTTTTGCTAGGCGCGGGCCAAAAAACATGCTAAATAACATGACTTTTGCTACCAAAGGCAAAAAAACATCGTGAATACTGTGGTTTTGGGCTTTTGAGGCGCAGAAAACATCGATATTTACGGTGTTTTTTTTCCTCCGAGGGTCTCAAAAAGACGCGAAGACACAGCCTATTTGACGATTTTTAATTTTTTTAGGCTCCACAAAAATACGACAATAAGCTGTGCTGCAAGAACCACCAACCACCAACCAGCCAGCCAGCCAGCCAGCCAACCAACCCACCCACCCACCCCACCCAAAACCCAAACCAACCCACCCCAACCAACCCAACCCAACCCCAACCAACCCAACCCAACCGAACCCAACCCAACCCAAACCAACCCATCCAAACCAACCAACAAAAAAACAAAAAACGAAACAAACCAAACCAAACCAAACTAAACAAACAAACAAGCAAGCAAACAAAACAAAGTTACAAACAAAACAAAACAAATAACAAGAACAAGAAGCACAAGAAGAAGAACAAGCACAAGAAGCACAATAAGCACAAGAAGCACAAGAAGAAGAACAAGCACAAAAATGCGACAGAAAATGTGTGGTAATATGGTTACAAGCTGCGGTATGACAAGACCATCACACTCTGCTTTGTACCCGCGCGCACGCGCAGAGCACATGAACAACACCAACGCCCACACTACTATATATACAGAACCCTTGTGGCATCGCCGGTGTGCCAAGCTCTACAATTAATAACGCTGCATCACATTGTGCCTGCCACCGACGAGTCCGCCGCCATGTCTGCGTTTTGGGCATCATCTGGCACCTCCAGCATGTCTGTTGCTTCCTGTAGGTCTACCTCAAAACAATGAAATGCAAAACGGCAAAACGTGCAAACCGTGCAAGTGAAAGCCATGAAGCCTGCTGAGAATCTCATGGAGCACTGCCAAGCCAAGAAAAATGGAGAACACAGAACTGTAAAGAAACTATCCCTCACATTGTCTTGCACGGTCTTCCAGCGATTGGACATAACGATGCCTAAAACTTGTCCAAGCATCCTCCGCACTGACGTTGTCCTGATCCTCTTGAGCCATGTCTGCTTCCTCTCGGTAGTACTAAGGCTTGCGAGATTTAAACGTGAGAGCACAGCGCACACACACAGAGCTTCACTTTGAAGATGCGGAAATTCTTCAATTTCCATTGAAATTCCATTGAGCCAAAAATGTGTGTTCACACCGGCAAGGCATGGTCGGAAGGCAGATGCGCAATGCATCATCATGCGAGAACCTCCAATATCAGGTTTTGGCGCAAAAGATGTGTGCTTCGAGCAATGGTGACAACTCAAGCTGCGTGCAGGATGTATATATAGATATATAACCCTCCCAAAAACAAGCCTGCCACTTCAAGCTTAAAAACTGCTTTGTTTTTCTTCTGTTCGCAAGGTTTCACAAGATAGGCGTGCACCGGATAACGCTCGCAACCCCACATCATACTGCATGAATCTCTATGACAACGCAGCCGCTCAATTACATACGAACAGGGTGGGTTGCTACATGTTGCTCAATCATAAATGGAGGTGGTGTTCACAACTCTGGCAACGGCCTTGACCAATGACAGATGAAGTCCAAGGATGAACAAACCGATAAAAAGGCGCACCGCATAGTTTCATCGGTGCTGTGGGACCGTACAAACCCTTAAAATCCCTTAAATCTGGCGTCTATGCCTGAATAAAGCAAGTTGTTTTTGATGTGTTTGGACCAACACAATACAATATTACATGCCGTACAAAACAGCCACAAGAGCAGCAAAAGAGCGACAACAAAAGCAACGACACAACAACGACAAAGCAATGATGAAGCAAGAGCAATATAAATAAATAAATATAATATATATATATACTGAAACAAAACATGCAACCAAAGCAGCACATCGACAACAATCAGACAAAGAAAAGCAAAGGAGGTGGTTGATGTGGCACCCGCGAAAAGGTCACCGGCTATTCTATGTTTTCAGAGGTTTGCCCGTTATACGCAGTATTTGCGAGCTGTGAGAACCTGACATGACCAAGGGGACACACGAACATTGAATTCTTGCGGCTGTGTGACGTGAAGTAGAAAATCCGCCCGCGCCGAAGGTGCCGATGCTTGGTATAGTTGAGCACCGAGTGATACGGGCAGATCTGTCAGACTGGTACAGCTTCAGCTGGGAGGACTGTGGTAATTTGCGCATTTTGCAGATCGGCCCAACATCGTCCAAATGGACCGTTTCGACCCCATATGGCCGCCAATGAGGCCCCACTTGGCTCCAACTTCGGCCAAACTGGCTCAAGATGGTGCAACTTGTTCCCAGCTTGGGCCCATTTGGGAGCAGCTTGAGGTCCATATGACTTCAAAAAAATAGAGGGTAGCCGGGCCAACTTTTCGCACTCGGGGCGACGCGCTGAAAACTAGCATTTCTACCGCTATTTCCAACGTTTTTTGGCTGTGATGGGGGTTCGCGTTGCCCACATGTTGGGCCTGTCCTGCGCCTACCTTCATCGCCATATGCCCCCACACAGGACCAAGTTGCGCATGCTAAGCCCAACTTGCGTCAAACTGTGCCCAAGTTGCGCCATGTTGGACCCCAGCTGGGCTCAAGCTGGGCCCAAGTTGGTATATGTTGGTATATCATCTCAGAAGTTCTTTTAGTTGGTGAAGCAATACCTCACAGAAGATAGGTTTAGTGTAGTCGTGCCTCTTTTGCCAGGGAAGGCAATGTGATCTGACCATTCCTCTTTGAAACCATGGCGGAATCTGCCAGACGTGTAATCTCTGGAACTCGAGCGACTAGACCTGACACTGCACAGCACACCGAAGCCACTATACTTGCTCAACATTTTGCCACTCCATCTGCAAGGTGCCAAAGCAAGTCTGAACAAACGCAATGACGTTGGAAGGCATGGACTCAACAAAAAAATCGCATGTCTCTGTAGCTTTCCATACTATTGACGTGTGACGCATTGGGCCCAGTCAAGGCATGTCATCCATGCAACATACGCAAAGAAACGACAGCCCAACCGTGGTGAATACTGTACAAAGGCACCGAGATGTTGGGAAAAAGAAAATGGTGGTGATGTTGACGGTGATGACGATGGCTGCGAGGAGGACGACGATGGGAAGAAGTAAGACGACAAAGACCACGATGACAGCTACAACAATGATACGAGTATTCAGGTGCAAGGAGATGCAAGGTGGATGAAGATGAAAACGGTGATGTTCCTGGGACAAGTGGTGATTGTACTGGGCAGACTCTGGGCAGTCGGGTGATGAGGACGTGTGTGGCTGGCAATGGAAAACAGGGAGGCCCAGGACAGATTTATAGTTCAGCCTTAAATGCGATTTCGGAGCCATGTTTTCGACATGTCTGGTGCTTGGTGATGTTGTTGCTCTTGTGGATGTCCCGTGGATATTGATGGTTAACATGACGACCATGTTGAACTTGAAAACAAAACTCAGATGATGGCGATGATGACCATGCGGATGATGGATGGATGGATGGATTGATGGATTGATTGATGGATTGATGGATGGATGTATGGATGGATGTATGGATGGATGTATGGATGGATGTATGGATGTATCATGATGTATCCATCTATCTAGCTATCTAGCTATCTACGGATGTATGTATGTCTACAGCGGAAACAGTGTGAGGATATTTCTGCAACTGTTTGTCCGCATTTGACCGTTTGGTTCATTGGACAAAAAGCGCCAAGACCAGCTACATGGACATGAATATATAATATACGCCTGTACATGCATGTACATACTACTACACTATTGTGAGATTCTCGGGGTGCTCAGGTAACAAACGATCTTTAGCCCTCAATGACAGTTGCATGCAACGATTGAAGCGCTGATTCTGTTCCGCGAAAATCATTGGCCGTGCCATCAGGAAACATCAGGGTGAGACCTGTGAAACATTGAAGGCATTACTTCAAATGCTGTACAAACTCATTTCTGTGATCTGCACTTCCAGAGCCGTCTCCACAGCATGGCCCAAGGTCACCAAGTTGTGCCTTACATGCGGTTTCAATCAGAAACGAATCTGTCGAATATACCCACTTAGGCTAGGATTCCAGACCTGATTTCTTGCTCAGATATTAAAAGAAATGATCTTGCAATAATACTCAGTGAATGAGTCGAAGCCACTGCAAAACCTGCAAAGTTCTTCTTGCTGAAGGTAACGGCAAAGACAACCACCTTGAAAGCATCGCCGAACTCGGCGCCTCAATTTCATGCTATGGAGAAATGACAAGGGATTTCTGCACCGCAAGGAGCACCAAATATGAGAAGTGAATACAAGTGGTATGTAAAAAACTTGAAACTCCAGCCTGGCTGTAGCAGCTTGCGCCACTCTCTGGCTATGACCTCCGCTGGTAATAGCATTGAATGGCAGTTTCCGACTGTCAAAATGCTGTCAATGCAATTTCTGCCTATCAACATCTATCAACTGAAAGTCAACGGCGGCCTCTGGCGAGTTGGCAAAGACTCCGCAACCCAAAGCTCCAAGCACCACAGAATCATGCCCTCCTGTCATGGAGAAATATGGAGAAATCATGTTGAAAAATGCTGAAACACACATGATGAAGAAATGTGTGGAAAAAAGTTGCCCCGCAATTTTATCCTTTGATGCCACATCTTCAAATCGCATCAAAATTGTCTATGTCTTTTTCATTTTTGCTTCCGATTCCTTGCACAGCTGCGTAGAGCACAGATCTCATCTTTTCTCGGGTCACTTCGAGGTATGCCTTGCTTGGCTCCCCTTCTGGCACATAGCCTCAGCACCAGGCCCTTCTATTCCAGGACATACACAAACATCATGTTATTTTATCGGATACCTGTAATCAGTCACTGAGAAATCTTGATTCGCCCAGATTGAGACTGGCTTGAGTTGCTTGAAATCGCTCAAAAAATCACTGCATGAAATGTAAGAGCACTTCTGTGGAATGTGAATGCCATGGTGCCATAGACAGCCCCTTGATTGCCGCGCTCTGGCCGAAGATCTAAAGCTGCGCATGTGCAAAGAGACGTCATCCAAGGAGAGTAGGCTTGGCTACCTGAAGTTCCATCCGCTTCCCGTTCCATGTGACTCTGAGATACTTTTTTTAGAGGACTGTACTGTTGAACATGTTGAAATATGTTGAATTCACATAATTCTGTTGAAATTTCAACACTCGCAGTCTGAGTCAGCTGAGTCACCAGTGATTCTGCCATCTGGGGACTTCTGATCAGGACTGCGGAACACCAAGAGCTTTGGCGTGTAGACCACACCAGCTTCAGTGAGGGGAAACCCGTGTCTCTCATCAGAGTAGGAACGTGGAACGTCTAACCTGCCAGAAAGTCTACAGAGCATGTTTCCCAACCTTTATTTGGAGAATCTTTGCACCCTTGCCTTCAAGACCCTTCAAGTATCCTGGGGTGGCCCGGTTGACTCCAAGAATCCAAGACAAGTTCCCTGCTGACACGCTGGGTATGTCTGGGTTTGTTTAAGATGTCACGCCCTCTGGCTCGCCTCCTCAAGATCTTCATGGCTTCTTCATTTTTGCTCAGGTCCGTTCGCCCATCACCGCCTCGTGCTGAGTATGGTGACTCTTGGTCAATGAAAGCAGTTGTGCCCGGTGGTGCCCGATCTGAAGGCATGAAAACCAAATCTGATTTGACAGAAGCGTGGAAACGAGATGAAACGAGTGGTTTCGACCAGGAACGCTCTGCTTCCATCTTTCCTTCGGAATTTAGGGTCTGTCCAGCAAGGTGAGGCAAGACAACGCGTTCACCACCTCAACAAACCAATCACTTCATGCGTCAAAGACATCGGGAACTGTTTGGAGACAAACTTTGTTGCACCACCCAGAACAAGCTTTTTCACATTGACATCCAAATCATCCAACATAAGTCTGAGTTCAGCACCTTCCCCAAAACCCAGTTGTCGGTAAGCCGTGTTGCGCTTTCCCTCTAGGTCTGGGACCCAACACCCAAATGGGCCTAGCGCCGATTGAACTACAAAGCAAAGTGACGCATGTCATCAACACTGCAGTGCATCTTAATTAAAGGACCGGATAACCCCACATGTCAACTTCTTCCAACAAGCAGCAAAAGAAAGGTAAAGATGGCATGGGGAAAGCAGGAAAGAGAAAAGAGATGGTGAAGGATTGGCGTATGCAACCAGGTGAATGATTTGCATCCAAATAGAAGGCCAGCTAGACAAACAATACTGAACACACTAATCCAATAACATCAAGTCGCCTCAGACAACGCCAGCTCTTTCGCAATAACATCCACGTATGGACCGGTATGAGTAAGTTGTGTATGCATGTATGTATGTATGTATGCATGCATGCATGTATTGAACAGCAGCATCTGCGCGACGAAGTCGGTGCCTGGCAGAACAACAGAAAACACCGGCTGTCACGAAGACGGTTAGTGTCAGAAGCACAGATTGATAACAGACATATGACTTGGCGTTGTTAATTCATATGCCCATATGCCTTTTTGGGGTTTGAAAAGTTTTTTCTCTTCTCTGCGCGATGTTTTGCGTGGCAGGCACAGCACTTCTTACTTGGCTCAAGTATGTCATGTGTTTGACTCTGGTTGCTGGCTGAGCTGACCCAAGAATTGCAATGGAAAAGGGTATCTAGATTTTATGACTAAGATGGCTCAAGTTTTGAGGCTCAAATTTAAATACCAACAGCGAGAGTGTCAAAAGAAAAAATGGGTGGTGGTTTGGTGGGGGAATTATATATAGGCTCAAGTCTTAAAGACCGACCATAACAGCGAGAGTGTAAAAAAAGGGTGGTTGTTTGGTGTGGTAATTGCTCAAGTCTTAAGGACCGACCATGGCCAACCGAAAAAAAGGGAAACTGGTGGTAAAGGTGGGCAACTGGTGGAGCTGTGGGCAGGATGACTGGATGACTGGACGCTATGGGTTGTGCCATCCAAACATTATGAGGTTTTAAACTTAACCAGTGTGGGGCAGGTACATTTTGGGATGACAATGGTGATACTTGAACATGATTCAATTTAGTTTGATTTAACTCGTTTCACTAACATGTGATAAACATCACCATAACAAAAATAAGAAATATTAAAGTAAGAAGTAATCAACACTAAAAAGTGATGATAATAAATAGTAATATAAAATAATAACAATAATAACAATAATAGTAATGATAGTAATAATAATTAAAGATAATCAATGAACAACAACTAACAACAACACTGAACCATGAACCATGAACCGTGAACCATGAACCATGCACCATGAACCATGAACATTTTTTCAGTGATGGTGGTCTTACCCCTCACTTTTTTCATATTTTTCATTTTTTTGAGAAGAAGGTCTTACCCTTCGTCGCTTCATTTGTCAATCCTCTGGTCTTCACCAGGTGGAGAAGAACTCCTGGTTGCTACAGTGCCACATCAATGAACAACACAAATAATTTTATGAAACCACAACACTGAACCATGAACATTTTTTTCAGTGATGGTGGTCTTACCCCTCACTGTTTTTTTTCATATTCATTTTTTGAGAAGAAGGTCTTACCCTTCTTCGTTTCATTTGTCAATCCTCTGGTCTTCACCAGGTGGAAAGGACCTCCTGGTCTTCACCGGGGGGGGCAGGGCATGCCCAAAAATCACCGCACGATGCTGGGAGATAGTTTCAGTGGGACAGCTGCTGGTTAGACAGTTTCAGTGGGAGATGTTGGGCTAAACGCTCACCATTTTTGATTGAAAAATCCATGATTTTTAGTGTTTTTTTCCCATTAATTTGGTGTTTTTTTGCCCTTGGCTTTGTGCCATCAATTCAGTGGACCCGATCACACCAAATTAATGGGAAAAAACACTCAAAAATCATGGATTTTTCGATCAAAAATGGTGAGCGTTAAGCCCAACATCTCCCACTTTTGAGTTTTTTTCTCCATGTGTCTGTCATCGGCGACATTTTTAAAACAAGTCTGCGCTATGAGTGTTTTTTTTGCTTCCTTTGCTGGTGATGGTGGTCTTACCTTCATAGTTTTCAGCCGGTCTTGTCCCAAGTAAAGTAGACCTGAAGTTGTGCAAGCGTTTTAGCCGGTCTTTCCCCAAGTAAAGTAACTTGAATTTCAGAAATCTTTTGGTTTCAAGTTTCATTTTTTGTTTTAACTGTTTTGTTGTTTTCAACGGTTGGGTTTAACTCACAGGGAGTTGGCCCCACGGTTCCCTGAACAGGACTGGTGCGACTGAGTTCAAAGGTTGGGCCACAGCTTCTTTGACCTTCGGCTGCATTAACTAGTGCAAATCTGGTCGGCAACAATATAACACGGAAAGGAATAAAATATATCTATATCTCGTTGACATGTATGCGGTTAACGCTCCAGTTTTTGCATGGGTTTGCCATATTTTTCCACGGTTGAATTTTGAAAAACAGCAACTAGGAGCTGGTGGTGGGCCCCCCCGGTCACTTGCTAGGACACTTCGATGGAGGCTGCTGTGAGGCTTCGGCGATTGGGAAGCCCTGGAAGGCTTGAGTTTCGCGCTTTCAGAACGAATTGCCCAGATCTGGCCGATGCGTTTGGGAAACACATCAATTGGTGGAGGGACGCCGGGTCGCGTGAGATTCTGATTTACGATCTACTAACAACGGTTGATGCTTATCCAGAAAAAATAGAAATCATACAACGAGGATTGTTCTTCGGTCACTATATTTGCACGTGGGCAACTCCCGTCCATTTGGATCCCTATCTCTACGTGCTACTGGATCCAGAAGAAAGCTTTTTCACAGTGTTAGTCTTCAGGGACCAGCGCTGACTTCAAAGAAACAGGTGGTCATAACAACAACCAGGACTGGTTTAGGGGAAAAAATTGACAACAGCGCTGAGTTCCAAAGTTGTTCAAGCCTTTTTGAAGGTATTTAAGGGAAAAAAGGGTCCAACTTGGCGACCGTAAGGTCTTCCACTCGAGCTTTCTGTTGCCACGCTTGTAGCTGGTTGACCTTGAAAGCAAGGTCAACCAGCTACAAGCGGAGCAACAGAGAGGCTCGAATGGAAGACCTTATGGTTGCCAAGTTGGACCTTTTAAGGGAAAAAAGGCTCCAACTTACCGACGCCCCCTTCGGTAAGTTGCCGGGGTGCCACCCTGTCAGGACTGGCGTCTCCAACGCTGTGGGCATTGAAGCTAAGGTTTCGGAGGAAATGGGCAGATTTCCATCTAGAGAACCCACCAGGCCTGGTGGTCTTACCCCGGCCGGACTATCCTGGTATAGTTTGTACAGATTACCAGTCCTGGTGGTCTTACCCCGGACTACCCTGGTGTACAAAACGGTCCTGTTAGTTTTGTATAGATTTTAATTTTATGCGCTGAAGAACCAGAATGGCCGAGCAAAAAAAACGCATTGGGGATAGTCATTGGTTGGGAACAACATTTGACCATGTGGCATTATAAATGACACGGTTGTTTTTTTTTAAACGTTATTTGCGCCGACATGGCTGAAACTGCGAGTGTTTCATGCGTGGTAGTTTGGGCTCGTTCATGTTTCATGTGTTTGACTTTGAGTTGAGAAAATAACAGTAGCATGGGCAGACATAAGTAAACACATACATGGACTGGAGCACCGTTTTAGTTTAGCACATACCATGTACCCTGAGCATTTCACTATTATAATGCCCGCTTATGATAGTCGAAAATAACCTCCAGTACAGAATCCAGTGTTCGTTGCGCCATGTCGTGGTGGTCGTCCTGGTCCTCCTGGTCCTGTTCCGAGCGCCCGTGGCGTGGCCAGGATTGGGATGATGGTGACAGTCGTCAACAGTGGGGCTAGGGCAGCGGGTCTTGGCAGTCCTGGCGGTCTTACTCCGGATGGGCCTCCGGATCCGCGGGTAGCGCCGGAAAAGGCAAAGGGAAGGAGGAGTCAGAACCGAAGAGGCTTCGTCATGAGCAGGCCCCGACCATTGGATTTGACATAGAAAAGGAGGACAAAGAGTACGTGTATGCGTATGTCCCTTGGGTCATGAGCGACTACAAGAACCAATGTTTGAGGCCAGTCATCGCGGACATTGAAGAAATGGGATGCACTTTCAAGATGAAGGTCATAAAGGCCCACAAATGCTCCAGGGTGAGCATTAGAGGCAAAGAAGCAAGGAATGCTTGGAAGCATTTCTTGGATAGCACGAGGAAACTTTTGCCAGAGAAATTGTCTGAGTTTCCAAAAATGTCACATGTTCAAATTCGCCCTGTGGTCGAAGACGACGACGTGAAAGACGAGGGGGGAACAGAAGTGAAGGCCGGCCGGGGCGGTGACTGAAGTTTTTATCACAGCGTTCGTAGTCAGTGCCCTGTCAAACTTGCATGTGTTCTGGGGATGCCAAATCTTGGCATAATGATTCAGTTTTGTTTTTTTTCGCAGTTTGTGCATGTGATCCCTTTTTTTTGGGTTATCGTTAAAACACATACATCTGTATATCATGCATTCATGTGTATACCATGATTCTCACGTGGATTGTCTGCCTGCCAGGACGAACCCGATTGGGACGCAGATGATGACAAGGACGAAGACGAGGACTTGCCAGCGGCTTCGGGGCAGGCAGCTCCGGTCACCCCACCCCGCCGGTCGCCGAAAATGTTCACGGGCAAAAGCAAGTGGCAAAAAAAAGGGATGGCTGCGATGATGCACTAGAGGCTGAAACAGAACCCAATTTAAGGGTGTCCACTGATAAGACAGGGTGCGTGCTGGTCACAGATCAGACAGGCAGAATCATCACAAGGCTCATGCCTGAAGCAAAAAACGAGTCCATGGGCCAAGAAATGGAGGGGTCAAAAATGTATCGTTTGGCTCAAAAAATTGCAAGAGAAGCAATTGAAAAATGCGGTCTCTCCCCTGGACCGGAGCTCATGCTGAAGTCTCACGTCTCGATGTTGAAGAATTCTTCACGAGAGGACCTCAGCACGATGTTGAGCTTCTGCACGTGTTTGTTTGGACGAGGGTGGCAACTCAGGATTTCCCTGCCAATCA